AACTTGATCCAGTTGGAAATTTTGAATTTCCTCCAGATACCAAGGAGCAAGATTTCCGGTAGTGACATCAACTGGATAATTTGGGGAGTCCCCCACAGTTTCCATCGCCATAGTAAGATCTTGGCAGGAGAGATCAGGATCATACATCTCGGTGTCAGTTATGACATGTTGTCTGAGATATGTATTAAGGTCATTAGAGTAGACTCGTTCAACCGGAGTAGGATCCGGGAGAGAATACTCGGGAGATGATTCATGGAGAGGTATATTGATTGCAGTGATATCAAAATCTCCTGCATCAAAAGAAGCAGCAGCATTCTCGAAGTATTCTTGATCCAGGTAGACATCCCAGGATCTAGAGTTTGGATCATCGGAACCTTCTGGAAGTTCCTCGATATAGGCTGTGTCAATTGCTTCCATGCCTTCTACTTTGAGATTATGGGCACAGGCTTTGCCCTTGCCATGGCGTCTATTCTGGCTTCAGCCACGAGAACCAGAACCTTGCTGCTGTTGTTGTGGAGTGTAGGGAGTATAACCTCCACCTCCACGTCCACGACCTCCGCAACCTCTTCCATGACCTCCATGGTAACCATGAAAGGATCCTGATCCAGATCCAGATTGATGATCAGAAGTATTATGACCACCTCTGCATATTTGACAGAGTGGCGGCTTGTTCATTTGTGCCAGAAGAGAATTTGATTCTTGTTTGATCTGGGTCGAAGATGATCCAGATTTGTCCTGTTGTGGAAGCATAGTTTTGCCCAATTTGTGGGCCCAGACTTCTTTCATATGAGGTATGATGGTATTGGGAGAAAGTTGATCGGCAGCAATAGATGATAGGATATTGATGGGAGCCTGTTCCAAGGCTTGTGTCATTGAATGGACAAGAATTAGCACTTTCATTTTATCATTAAGGGCAATGCCCTGAGCACTAATGGCAGCGAGAAGCATATTGATCTCCATGATTTTAGCCATTATGTCATCCTTGGGTTTTATTTGTATATGGATTAGGCGTTGAAACTCCATGAAAGTTGTCATCGCTGAAGGAGTTCCGTATGTGGTAAGAAGCGCATTCCATTTCAAATGAGCAGTAGCATGCCTGTCAATCGACATTGTGATCATCGGATCGCAATAGAGTGTGAGAATGCCTTGGGCACGTGTATCAGAGGTGACCCAGGCAGCAATGTCTGTGGTGGCAGCACCAGCAGCAGGTCTTGCAATTGTACTGTCAACGATTCCCATAATACCAAGGGTTTGCATGTAAGCCTTCATAAGAATGGACCAAGAGGCATAGTTCAAGCCGTTAAGCTTGGGGATCTGCTTGGAAAGACCTTTGGACATCTAGTGTCAAAAGTCCATAAGCAGGTGTTCATATAAGAATGAGTGAGTCGGATGGATTTTAATGGATGGAGGATTCAATTCATGAATCTGATTCCTTTTGGGTCTGCGAGCAGAAGCTCTAGCAGATTGAGATGGCTGGCGACGATGGGAACATTGATTCTTGAAATAAGGACGAGGATTTCTTCGCTTCTCCATTTTTGTTTGTGGTGCCATAGTACCTTTCTCAGCGAATCTCCAGGATGAGATGTGAGAATTATTGTGCTCTAGACTTAAAACATCTAGCAGAGGGAAATAATGGTAGCTCATAAAGCTCCAGTTACAGTCATGTAACAGAATCCCATCCGAACGAAATCCCAAGTAGGGATCAGCGCAAGAATATGGTACATTTATGGCAGGAGAATAGCGAAAATGTTTGTCCTTCACTAATACTTCAAGACAATTGTATGATTCATACAAAGTACAAGTATTAGTTCCTGAATGGCTTCAGCCACCTGATATGTATGGTGCATCCAGAGAGCTTGGAAGAGGATAGTTTCTGGTGTATGGCTTGAGCTTCACGAGCTTGGCTAAGAGCTGTAGTGCGAATTCCACAAGGTCAGGGTTCTGTGAGATAATCAAAAATAGAGTCGTCCATGACATGTTCAAGATCGTGCAGAATCTCCTCTGATCTGGGCCAGTAAGCGAATTCTGCATTAATGGGGTTGAGACCCCATGAAAGATGCTGGTTAGCAGAGTTATATCGCAAGGTAACTCCCACATCTGCCTCATCCCTATACCATCGAATAGACCTAAAGAGGTTGCTATCAAAGCTGTCTCCTCCACGTCTCCGTTCTCGGAACCACCCTGGGATACAGGCAATGTCGGTACTTCTGTCAGCCCAAGTTCCTCTGAAATGGAACTCAAGATGTTGGTTCCAAAGGCGGAGAGGAGGGACGACACCATTGAAGCATGGGTCGTAAAGTGGGTGGACGTTGTAGTAGATGTATACAAATGTATCGTGGGTGACCGAAAATGCCAGAACAGTGTCGAGGGAAGGATTTTCATAGTATGCTGAAGGAAGATCACAACCATTGAAGTTAGCAATCATGTGAGGAGTCGACATATGAGACAGTTTTGGGAAGAAATCGGTTAAATAACTGTGGAAGGCAAGATGGAGACCTGGATAGAAGAAGGGTGACTTGAAACTGGGAAAGTGGGGCATTTGTTGCCACACTGTTTCCACCGTGTCGATTGGGACGAGATAAGTAGCCGGATTTGGCTTCTTGAAGAATGCAACTGACAATGGAACTGCCTTTCTCCAAGTGGAGCAACCGTGTATGTATATCATCTCGGTATATTCTATAATCTCTTTCACTGCATACTTCCACCACTTTACTTCATACATTCCATCCTGCTGCTCAGCGATAGCGAGCTCAAGCTTCTTAGCAACAACCAAAGACATCTTGTAGAGACCGTAGATTAGTTCCCATTATTTGTAGACATAAACACGAACAAGTTTTTTTTAGAGTAAATCAAACTCCGCGTTATCATCATTGATGACAGCGAGAACGAGCTCAGGATTGAGCAACTCGTTCAAAGCAACAACCTCCTCAGGAAGAGGAGTTGGTGCCTGACGTGGAGATGGCGGATCAAACGCCTCAACCTCATCATAGGGCAGAACAGGATCTAAGTCAGCGTCATGGTTGATGTCGGGAAGATGAAAATGAAGGTAATGCAGAGGCAGAGTTGGAGGTCGAAGAATGAGTCACTGTAGCAGCGCTCTGCGAAGAATCTGCTCTTGTAGCAGAAACTGTCGCCTTCGCCACCAAGCGGAGAGACCTAGAAAAGAAAGCCAAAAGGCCACTGAGCGTACAAACAGCTCGTGTAGATAAATCAGATCATAACCACCATAATGAAGTAAAAGTACCGCCTGGTTTAGACCAGCGGCAAGCGACACAGTGAAGACTACTACTACCATTCCTAGTGCATCTAGGCCTACAACATCCATTGTGATTTGCCCATTGGCAGTGATTGCTCGATGCAAATGTGTAAATAGCACACCGCCTAGCAAGCAGGGCTCATAACCAATTGCACAGAGGAATGGGAGAAACAAAGAGCAAAAGGCACGAACACTTGCCTTGTTAAGAACAGTAGTAGATTTGTTAAACTGGAGTAAGTTTTTGAGGGGCTCAGTTGTAGAGTAGACAAGTGAAGAACGAATGTAGAATTCGATAGGAATTGAGGAAGAAATCCCTGAGTTTATATACATGAGTAGGTATGCATGGACCAGTAGCATAAAAGGAAACTACTACTCAGTATAGTAAAGAATAGCATGGAAGGTCATGGAATATGACGTATGATATGATGTCAGTATGACATCATTGTGGAGCTGATTGCTAAGGAATGTCATGTGATAAACAACATGTTGAGACATGTGGAAGTCTGGATGACTCTAGACGTCGGAACTATTAGAATATTTCCAACAGTTAGGTCCACAAGGAGGTGTTTGACCTGGTAGAACGAGGGAAGTTCAGAGCCTGGAAAACAGGCATGGATGCCAATGCATATCTTCTCATATGCAGACTCTGATGAGTGCTCGAGAGCAATGAAGATTTGGATGGCAAGTTTTTGACAAGGATCAATGAGTTTGAGGACGTCCATCGGAGGATTGCGGAGCCAGTCAACAGACTCTCCTCCAAGCCCCATCCCATCACCAAGTGAAGTGTTCTGAATCCACCAGATGAAATCCATGCTTCACATGTGCTTGGGATTTGTAGAGGCGAAATCTGTGAGTTCATTCAAGTCAAGATCAACAAGAGGATTTCTCCATGGGTTGGGAGGGGGAAAGTCTTCATGTGTCTGCCCAGGTGAATTACAGGGAGAGCCAGGAGGGGGAAAGTCTTTGTGTGTCTGCCCAGGTGAATTATGGGGAGAGCCAGGAGGGGGAAAGTCTTCACATGTCTGCCCAGGTGAATTATGGGGAGAGTCAGGAGGGGGAAAGTCTTTGTGCATCTCTTCAGGCATGCTATTGGGAGACGCAGGTGAAGGTGAATGCTCATGCACCTGGAGAACCTGGTAGTCTTGATTTATAGGAATATAACAAATACATAAAATGAACTCACCTCAAAGTCATCCTCATTGGAGAGATGGAGACGCTTGGAGGAGTTGCAGTCACCATCGGGACCATTCTCAGAAAGATGCTTGGAACCAGAAAGTCTATTACTTGCAACAAAGGCATGGAAGGTGTCAGAGCATCTTGCTAAATGAATGTCTTGTTTTTCATCTTCGCCTGCATCATGAAAGTGACGCCACCAAGTAGCAAGGGTATTCAGAGGCTTCCGGGTGCCCTTACAGTACTTTCTGCATGTACACCAATATACTTCACCTTCGAGATCTGGCATATCTGTGGTACGATGTAAGTCAATCTGTATCAACAGGTCTGATAGCACACCTAGGTTGTAATGTTGTAGAGTCAGTGAAATGGAATGAATTCAATGGAAAATCTTCATTGAAATCTTATAATCACGACGACTTGAGGAATCCAAATGAGAAAGTTTCAGTAGCGATTTCTATGGGGAAATATGCTCTAACTTAGTTTCAGTCGCTGCATGCCATAAGCATAGTTGCACATACATATAAACTATGGTACATACAAATATGTATCTACACCTATGTATGGATATGACGGGTTCTCACTGGGACTCAGTACTCAATCGTCATGCCCCAACTTCCACCTACGCTGAAAGGCTATGACAACCAACCCGGTATCGTCAGCGCATACAACATAATTCTCGGACTTGAATGGAGAATTCTACGCGAGATTGACTCGGAGAAGGACAAGTTGGACAAGAAGACGAATACTCTCGATTCATTGGAGAAGAAGTTGATGAGATGCCGAATACTTGGTTTCCTCTTCCACCATTTTCCGGGTCTCCAGTTGAATGGTAGATTCACTACTGAGATCATAACGATCAATGGCGACGACGAAAAACTACTGGAATTAGGGGAGCAATTCTATCAGCTTCTCGTTAAGCTGTGTACGTTCTCCAAGTTAACAGCTTTTTCTCCGGACATACTTAACCAGTCCAGTCTCAGCTAACAAGGGGCGCACGCCGACGCCTACATCTCACCCGTCTAGACCGTCCTTTGACCAATCCGTAAAGGAGATGAAGGCCAGATTGAACGGGCCCCCTCCAAATCATCAAATGGCTAAGAGGCTCGTTCGTATCATCCGTTTTAGCCTGTTATCATTGTGTCTTACGTTTGTTTTATGTAAACAGGCCCTCGCCAGGGATGGTTATCGGTGTGTTATCACCAAAGTTTATGACTGGTCGTACGTCAAGGACAACACAGAGTTGCTAGGTTCCATTAGGACGGATGGAGGGCGCATGGGAGTCACTGAGTGTGCTCACACCTTTCCGGAGTCTATCAATGCAAATACCACATCAGGCTCAAATAAAGTTGGTTTTTCACTGGAAATACACTTTTCCTTGTTGATCGTTGTTTTAGGAGCACTATGCTGCTTCTGTTTGGGCAGTACTTGACCGCTTCGGCTACGGACACCTGCAGCAGGAGCTCAATGGTATCGGTATAAATCGACTCGAAAATGTCATGACGATGGATTTAACCCTTCACAAGCTGTTTGATTCGCTGCAGATTTGGTTTTGTGAAACGGTGCGAATTGTAGTTCCTCTGCCCTCTTCTGAGCGATTTCAAGCAAGGACCCGCATTGTAGGACGTACCCAATGTATACGAACTTGATTCAGTCGAGGATCTCCTGCTTCGTGATATCCCACGATCTGTTACCTTTTCAACGACGGATCCGGAGCTTTCCCTCCCCAGTTCAACCTACCTTGCTATTCATGCTGCTTGTGCCAAGGTTGCCCATCTCTCCGGTGCAGGTGAGCATATTTTGAAGACGTTCAGAGACATGGGAGACATGGGAGTCTTAGCGGAGGACGGAGGGTCGGGAGAGCTTTTATGCCAAGCGCTTCAGTCTCAGGGCGCGCCCATTTCAGTCTAATGTATGTACTTTGATTATCAAGACGTTTGTGGGATGGTATATCCGATAGCCACTGAATAGAATGATTTTCCATATCTTGGACATACATATGCTGGTATTGGTGTTGGTTGGTGCATCTCCCCATGTCGCCTTGTTATCCCCCAGGAGAAACAAGTCTGTTTTCGTGAAAATCAGTTCCAAATCATCTTTCTTCCACTGCTTCGCAGGAAATGGAAGATGCCCTTGCCTTGTCGGAGGATGGTGGGTCTGTAGAGCTTTTACACGAAGCAACTCTGTTTTTGATTCTGCCATTCCATCCAATGTGTTTGTGTGACTGAGGTGGAAAAGAATGGTGTGGAAAATTTATAGTACTGTAATTAGTAAGTGTGGTGACATTGGAATTTAATTCTGAGGGTTGGGGGGAAACTCTGAGCCCTCTGGGTGAAATTTTAAGAGGCTACCATAACTCTGGAATGCATTCTCAACAAAACTGGCATTACACTGACAGCTTCCCCAACTCACCTTTGACTCACCTTGTATTTTTATTTCTATCAGATGTTTACTTATACATGAACCCCTACGTGCATATTCCTGGATGCTGTTAGGCCCAGGTTTGTAAACTCTTTGTGACTGAAAATCATACTGGGCTGCTGGGTCCAGTCACATGCATGGGTTTCAAACTCTTTGTGACCACAAATCATACTGGGCCACCAGGTCCAGTCACATGTGTGGGTTTCCTTTGGGGTTGGTGCCTCTTTCTCAATGCACCATTGTGCACATTTTTTGGGAAGCACACAGTTGAGAGAGTGCATAATAACATGGATAGTGGCATTCACCACTTGTGTGTTGACATTGCTGGGGTCAGTGATGTTAGTGTGATTAGCTATGAGATTTTACATTGGGAGTTCACATTTGAATGTGCTGCTGTGCATAACAATTTGAGTGTGGGTTCATTGTATCCAACAGGGTCATTGTTGGTGTGTTCAAGTCACTCACTTTGTGAGTGTGTGGAACAGTACCCATTTCTTACAGTGAACAACCTAATGGCTATTGCAGAATTTCATGCTGTGGTTCTCAGTAGTGAGCTGTGGCATGTGATGTGTATTGATGCTCTTCGTATTCATGAGTGTGGTATCACATGTCCATTGCTACTGTAAATATTTTGTTGACCCCAGTTGTATGATTTAGAAAAGTACCATGGCACCATACTTTGTCCTCAAGGGATGCATTGCTTGGATGAGATCAGGAAGGTGCAGATGTGCATTTCATGTTGAAAGGCTCTTATGGCAAAACTGCTGTGACAACCAAAGGATGTGATAGCTAATTTTCAATATTATGTGTTGAGTGAGTTGCCCCAAGACATTCAGTGGTGTATACAGACTAGTAGTGTGGTGGAGCTGATGGTTGTCATTGCTTGTTGCACTACTATCATTACTCATCATTATCAAACTAGGAACATTTCAGTGGGGGGGGGGTCCTGAAGAAGCCAGTCAGCAGTTTAACAGAGGGAATGTTGCTCTCTTGCTTCAGGATCCTTCTTCTCTATTGAATGGCCTTCTGCTGACAGCAAGTGATTTGCAGGGGGCTGTGTGTGTGGTGTTTTCAGGTGGTACCTTTTGTCCCAGTGCAGATGCTTTGCACAAATTCCCACCTGTTCTCATCAGTAAATCAAGGGTGAAGTGCATAATTGAGTGGTTGGTTTCCAACATTGAGTGGTATTTGAAGAATGGAATCACATTCAGTGCAGAGAACTTGGTGGCATTAGTGAATGGTGAAGAGGATACAGGTGTTCTGCAAGGAGTTGAGATCACTCACATCAGTAAATCACTTTTGCTGGCCAGAGCTGTCCAGAGCTGTCCAGCACTGGACAGATTCCCTAGGACTACCAGCTCACAAAGTGGTTTACTGATGCATCTTCAAGACAGCAATGAGACAGTCAATGCTAGTGACAGTAGCAATTGGTCTGCAATGACTGCTGATCTTGTTACAGAAATGGTTGCATATATTGATGGGGATCATTCCAAGCAGTCATGCCAGGCTATGAAAGCGACTGCACTGGCCCATGCATTGGATCACAAGAGGTTTCTAGTCAGTTGTGCTGGTTCCAAGTTGATGAATGACAACTTGCCTGCCTGTTTGACCACAGTGTTCCCCCACCTCGATCCTTGGGGATTGGTGGGTTTAACCATCCTGCTTGACAACCCAAACAACACATGTCCTTCCAATGTCAACTGAAGAATTTGTTGTGACAAGTGGACTTGCCCTTCACACAAGACCCAAGTTTTCCTTTCATATGCTGGAATATTTTGCAGAAACTGGTGGCAAGCAAGAATGTGGCATTCTCCATACCATCTGCATGATGCCACAGCCTTGTGAGTGATATTCATGAGGCTGAGTCCTTCATAACATCTTTGGCTGAGAAATTGGAACAGGACCCAAGGGCAAAGGTTGTGACTGTTAGCAAGAGGAGCATGCTCTGATTGTTTCAAGAGCTAAATGTAATCCGTCATTCACTGCCCAGCAGTGATGGGTACAAGCTATGTTGGTGCAACAAAATTCACTCACTGACATGACAACTGGGTACCCTGGCCTTTTTCCTGACTTTAAATCTACATGACCTGATGAATGTTCCTGTTGCTCACTTTGGGGGTCTGGACATATCTCTGTGGTGCCAACTTGGGGCATATGAGTGGGCTGTCTTTGTCACCTCACATCCAGCCACTGTGGCTAAGGCATTTGATGTTCTCATCCAGGGTTTTGTAGATGTCATTATTAAATATAACAATGGCTGTGGTTTGTTTGGAAGATGTTCCAGATACTATGGAATGGTGGAGGCACAGGGAAGAGGGACCCTTCACTGCCATATGTTGCTGTGGATCAATGGACATCCAAACCTGGAATGGTTGCAGTCAATGATGATCAATGATGAACAGTTTGAAGATTTGCTCTTCTGCTGGTTGGAGGATGTTATCCAGTGTAAGCTTCCTGGAATGACAATAGAGAGCATTGGAAATACAGGTTCATCAAAACCTGCCTGGCCAGGGGATGTGCCCAATCCTTGTTTACAGGAGCCACCTCAGATTGCTGAGTGTGAGCAGAGTGTCTTCGAAGATGCATTTTATGAATTTGTCACATGCCTTGACAAAAGCCATCAATGCTATGATGGGCAGGTGCAAGGTCTCCCATCAACAGGTTATGAGCTATTTAATTGGAGGTGGTGATTATTACACTAGCCATGAGTTTTGCACCATACAATTTCATGAGTTTATCAACATAGCAGTGCTGCATGAGCTTCACATTAATGGTGATTGCGACTGCAGAACAGAAGCCAGTGTGGATTGTCCTGGAAATGTGTGTGGTTCAATGTGTATGGCACATGTGTCCAATGGTACACTGTCTGTGGTGTTGGAACCTTTGGATTACTTGATGTATCCCTCCATAGCACCTTTCGAGGACATGTGTTTATGGCAGTTCTGGGACAAATGCAAAAAGTTAAACAGACAGCAAGCAATACAGATATGGCACTAGAAAAATGCACAGTGCATGAAAATGACATGACAGGTTCAGCTGCTGAATGTCCAGCATATTTGTGCAGATTTCGAGCACCATTTGCAGATCCCATGAATCCCCAATTCAGCACTCATAAACTGTGTATGCACAACACCATTGTCAGGCCCATTTTGCTAGGAGAATTGATTCCTTTGCCCCACAAGGTGGACTGGTGCATGGAAGAGTTCTGCTGGGCGATGTTACTTCTCTTCTGTGCATGGCAAAGACCCTCTGATCTGCTCTGTGGATATTTGTGTTGGACTGAAGCATTTGATACTTACCAGCTTGGAGCTTCTGCCTCCAGCATAATATCAAATTTCTTCATTGAACTGGAGTGTAGAGATGCCAGGGATGCCATGCAGGACAAGTATCATGAGAAGATGCCATGGGGGAAAGACTCTTCTGATCTCTGTGTGCAGAAAGCCAGTGGATTTGATGTGGAACTCATAAAAGAAGCACTCATTCTTGATTTGGACCTGGACCAAATGGACCAGCATGAGTTGGAGTGCCTGCTTTTGTTGAATTTGAGATCATGTGGCCTCAGGGCCAACTACCCTACTGCTGCCAAACAGTGAACCACTAAAGGAAAATATGACCAAGCTGGGATTTGAACTCAGGACCCCCTGGCATATACCCAGGTGCTCTAACCACTGAGCTACCTGGCCTTGGGTACTCAATGGTGCTTGTAGGATTAGTGCAGATTACTACTCCAACAGCTTTCTGGTGACTTAGATGACCAGAGAAGCACTGTCCTCCCTCAGGGCAAGTTGGACATCATTGCCATGTCACAGGCACTTCATGGGAATCCAAAGCAGTGTGAGTGTTTGAACACCTTTGATGGCTGAATCCTTGAAGTCAGTTTTGATATGGAAGATAAGATTTCTCTCCATAATATGTACATGAATTTGCAGCAAAAATGCAAATGACCTGAAAGATCTGCCCTTAGTGAGGACATCAATGAGTAGAAAGTGTCCTTGAACCTCTCTCAACAGGTGGTCTCCAACCCTTGCTGTCGGTACAGTGGAAAGTGTGCATTCTGCTATTCAGGCCATGGCTAATGACCTTGAATGAGAAACCTTCCCATCACAAATGATTTCAAAGTGGACACTTCAGAATAATGAAGATCAAAAACATGCCTTTACAATAATAATTGAGCACAGGTGGAATGACCTGGAACAAATGTTGATGTTCATCACTGGAATCAGAGGATCTGGGAAGAGTCATCTCATACAGGCAATTGTAGATGTGTTTGCACAACATGGTTGCTCCTGAGAGATTCTGTTGGGTGCCCCAATGGGTAGTGCCACATGCCTCATCAATGGTTTTACAATCCATGCACTTACTCTAATGAATTCTCAAACTCAGAGAAAAGATGGAAGACAGGGGGGGAACATTGACAATTCAGGTAACCAATTTGCATAAGCATTTAGGCTGAATAGTTTCTCCAAACCATCCAGCCTCATAGCCTCCCAGACCAAGGTCTGCCCAGGGACATCTGGTCATGTCCCAGGGCTATGCAGATTTTTAGGCCCTGGGACAGATGGGATTTCCCACATAGCCATCCATTCAAATGCAATTATTTGGGATGTCCCAGGACTGCCTTGGGTGGCAGGGGTCCCTACTCCTGAAAGTGCAGCTTATGTTAGCATTGAAAAAGCTGCAGAAATCCTAGCCCCCTTGCTCCTCTGACAGGTTTAATCCACAAAGTATCCTTCAACCTATACATCCCCTCCCCTCCCACCATGCATAGTAGTATACAATAGTACTTTTCATGTACATCTTTGCAATGTTGATTCTGCTGTATTGGGACATCTCACTAGTTGCCAGGGGGATGACCCACCTGGGCCTCCACATTTGCCATGAAAATTGCAATAATAAATTCAATCAATTTGTGTCTATACTTCAAGCGATTTGTACTGTATGAAGGAAGAAGTAAATGGTTTTTGAACACTTGTGTGACAAGCCAATATCTCAAAGTCCCCACATAGAACATGGTGTTGGTCACCTTTGCAACACCATCTGCAGAGGGCAGAATGTCCCAGATGAGCCTCTGAGGTTGTCATGGGGCATTGTGCTGATCTGCAAAGGTAACTTAGGAGGATGTGCCATCATAGCCCCCTGAGGCTGGGATGGTACATCCCACTGACTTTCATAAGGGGACTTGGGATGTCCTGACATGGTGGGGCCTTCCCCATCAGATTGGTACCATGTGCCTTGCAGTTGCATCCCCTCAAAGTGACAGAAATGTGACAAGGTCCAATGGTACACTTTGTAATACTCATCACAAAGCTATAAATCACTACTAGACTTGGGGTTCAGATGTGCCCATTTGCATTTCTGAGGCTTTGGAGCCAGGACCCTCTCAGTGTCAAGCAGCTGCTCTGACCATGGAGCTACCTTGCATTGGATTCTCTATGGTGCTTGTAGGATTAGTGCACATTACTACTTCAACACCTTAGAGGCTGCTTTGGGACATCCCTCTGGTTGCCAGAGGGGGGGGGGGGGGTGAGATGTCCCAGTGTAGGCTTAGAGGCTGTTGTGGGACATCCCACCCTACCCCCTGCCAACCAGTGGGATGTCCCACAACAGCCTAGCTTGACTATACTCTAAACATTGTCAAAACCCTTACCCAGCTGCCCCCATCCCCCATCTTAAATGCCATGACTGAGGCTGATCATCCTCTTACTCCTTCTGATCCCTGTTATCATCAAGCATGCTATGTCTGCCACCCTCTTGGACATATCCATGTCAACTGTGGACTTTACAAATGTCCTCTTTGTTGAACCACTCACCCTGGGCATACTCAGGCCCAATGCCCATCATTGCACCCTTGTCACACCTTATGAGAAAGAATTTCCACTCCTGGAGTGGTTGATGATCATACCCTCATCAGGAGTGAGGATGACAATCTATACAACAATAATTTTGACTTCAATGACTCCGCCATTGGCAATATGACCAGAGAACCTTATGGAGAGTAGATTGAAGTTGGAGACTTCAAGGCTTAAAAGGGGGGTAATATTACGTTTCACCCTTGTTTACTCTTTTTCTCCTCACATTTACCTTGTGCTTGATCTGATGGACTGTCTTTCCTTTTCAAGCTGTCTTCTCGTTGATCTGACAGCTCCTTATTTCCACCACTGGCATTATCTTCTTGTTACATGCATAGAGCGTGTGCTGCCATTGCTCAACCAATGGCATAGTTACCTCATTACATGTGGATGCCTCATGGTCCATTTCTTGTACAGTATTTAGTCTGTTGGCTCAAGTCCTGGAACACCCAGACTTGAGCTGCTCAATCATATGCAGCATTCTCAGAACTTTGCCCTCAGTGTCCCTAACCAGGACCACTCTTACTGGTGTTGCCCAAATCCTCTGTCATTTACAGAGGTTGCTGTAGCTGTTTGCTCAGTAGAAACCATAGTCTGCATTTGAGCTCTCCCTATGCCTTGACTTCAGTTGAGCATAACATGTGGACGGTGTTGCAAAGGTGACCAACACCATGGTCTATGTGGGGGACTTTGAGATATTGGCTTGTCACACAAATGTTCAAAAACCATTTACTTCTTCCTTCATACAGTACAAATCGCTTGAAGTATAGACACAAATTGATTGAATTTATTATTGCAATTTTCATGGAAAATGTGGAGGCCCAGGTGGGTCATCCCCCTGACAACTAGTGAGATGTCCCAATACAGCAGAATCACATTGCAAAGATGTACTATTGTATACTACTATGTGGAGTGGGATGGGAGGGGATGTATAGGACAAAGTGTACTTTGCAGATTAAACCTGTCAGAGGAGCAAGGGGGCTAGGATTTCTGCAGCTATTTCAATGCTAACATAAGCTGCACTTTCAGGAGTAGGGACCCCTGCCACCCAAGGCAGTCCTGGGACATCCCAAATAATTGCATTTGAATGGATGGCTATGTGGGAAATCCCATCTGTCCCAGGGCCTAAAAATCTGCATAGCCCTGGGACATGACCAGATATCCCTGGGCAGACCTTGGTCTTGGAGGCTATTAGGCTGGATGGTTTGGAGAAACTATTCAGCCTAAATGCTTGTGAAAAATGGTGACCTGAAGTGAGAGTACCCAGTGTAGAAAAAGAGAAAAACAAAATGGGAAGACTGGGTAGTTGGATTATCTGAGGGGAGTGAGTAAGCCAAAGGGGCTTCTATAGCCTGAGCAAGGATCCTGGTAGTCATCTGAAGGTTTCTAAGGCTGTCTTGATGCAGGGAATGACCTGCTCAAACTTGTCTCTCATTCTTAGGGTAACTCATCTATTATTTTTAAGGAAAACTAACTATGCCAGTCTCTATGTAGTGCTGACTGAGCAACAAAAAAGCGAAATTCTAAGAACAAGTAGCAGAGGGATAGCTAGAAGAAAAATAAAGTAAAATCATCAAAATAAAACAATTCCCCCAGCAGGGAAATTACATTCCCTATGCCAGGAGGGGACAACTTCTATGTGGTGTTCCCCACACTGTTAAGTCTGCTTCATCACTGGTTCAAAGCTGGTCCAGAGTTTGCTCAGGGGTCAGAGGGGAAGATGAGATACTAGAGGGTTTGGACTATTGGACTAAGTGACTGAGGAGCAGCACTATTCCCTTGCATGGGCTGTAGTCTGGTCAAGAGGCAGAAATAGGAGGAGACTGGGTTAGATGAGACCTGATTGATTTCAGACTGAGGCTAAACAGATGTTCCTATGGCTTAAATACTGAAGGTAAACAAAGTGTAACATAGCACCAGAGACCAGTTGCACTGGTACAGTGATGATTGGTAAACAGATTGGTAAGTACAATGTTACAAAGAATATTATCAAGCATGGTATGAACAAAGGTTCACCAGGAACCAGGGTGGGACTAGTGACAGGCTGGGTATTACACCAGTCCAGTCTTAACCAAGCAAACAACTCAATTGGGCACTGCCTTGCAGTGCCTCACAAGCTAACACATTTCTGGGTTGAATTGTCAAGGCTGGGACTGGGGTAGAGGTGGGGCAAGTCTGGTCAAGACCAGGGTAGAGCCAGTCTAGGGTAGTCTAGACATGGTCATGACAGTATCCCCCTCTTGGAGCCAAGCCCATGAGGCTCCAATGAGGACAATGCTGAGAACAAATTTTTGGGCCTTGAAACTGGTGAACTTAAGACTGGTCTACCTCAGGTTTGGTTCCCCCATCTTGACATGTCTACTTGCCAGTCCCAAATGCCTTATGATCAAGACCTCTTGCCTGATGCAAGTCAACATGTGATTCAGTGGTGAAAACCAACCAAAACCAACACAAAAGACAATGAGAGTGAGTGGTGGTGTGCCTATGCAGTACCTAGATGGTAGAACCTTTTGTCTGGGTGGGTTTTTGCAAGCTACAACACTCAAAGACAAGTTCTGAGGGTTAGGGGTGCTCCTGATGAAGAGGGAGCAAGAATGTGAGAGGATGCAATAGGGTAGACTGCTGTCAGCCTACAGAAGGATGGATGATGACTTAATTGAATGTTCTAAGCTGCACTGAGCTCAGGGAGGACTTGGAGTGAAGCTTATTGATGATAGATGATGATAAGCAAAGTAGATGATAGTTAGGCCCTTAATAAAGTCTCAACTATCAAAGCTGCTGAATGAATTGCTGAGAGATGATAAAATGCAAGCAAGATGGGCTTGCTGACATCTTCTTATTCAGCTATCTAAGTACAGTGATTTATATACAGTACAGGGGCATTGCCTATGGAAAACTAGGTGCAAACACTTGGTAAGTGATTGGTAATTGATAAGTAAGGAATGTAAGCAGTGGGTAATCATCTTAGAAAGCATTGGTGAGCATTGGTAAAGATATGTAAGCCAAAAAGTGAAGAATCAGTAAGCAAAGTCAAAAGATTGGTAAGTATTGGCAATAGGTGAGTCAAGGACAGTCAGAATGTCAAAGTATGAGTCAAGTAATGTCAGAAACTGGGAAAGTGCACTGGAATTGCATTAGGGGGAGGCTTTGCATGTCACATCTTGAAGAGATCACTTCTAGGCCAAGGTGGGATGACAGAGGCAGTGCTGATCTGATGCTGATATATTACATCCAAAAGCAGACAGGGTGAGTCAGATGTCAACAGGGGTCAAGCTTTGGGGGTCTGTGGGGTGACAGGAGCATAGGGGATCACAACTTTCCCCCCCAATTGTCCTCTCAGTGCAGCCAATGAACATTATGAGTTCCTTGTGCCAGACATGCCTTCAGACCAGGACACCACTGACAAGGAGGACAGGGACATCAAGGGGCGCG